GAAACAACTGCACTATCAGGATCAAGTGTTTCAGTAACAGTGTTAGACTGTTCTAATATCACCAGTGAAAAACTGAAGTCAAACAGGCTCTGCTAGCACAAGAATACATACAATAACGTGCAACGTGAAAAACAATCCAGCTTGTAATACTACTTACCTTCACTTTTAACTCACCCATCCTGATGAGCCACACAAAGCTGTTAGAGATATTCAAAACAGAGCATCAAACATTCATTCATCTTGGCCAGGGATTATTGTGGAACAAAAAGAAGATAAAGTGACTGGAATTTACTAAGGTTTAAATTAATGCCTTTGGCCTTTTAAATTAAGGGTTCAAGCGGAAAGTGCAGTTTCAATACGAATCTATTTGGCACTTTACACATGAGTGATCAAGTCAAAGGATATTTGTTCTATACGAATGATAACTCGAGCGAGTGAGACATGAGGTAGAAATTAAAGAGACTCAATTAAAAACGAGTGACATGAAAACGTTGCGTCTAAGTCAGTCGAATTTTTATTCAGGCGGCAAGATGACAGCGACTGGTAGAACAGGAATCTGTTTTCATAGGTTTAAATCAAAACAAGCATAAGTTTCGAACCTGCTCGAGTGGACAATATGATAAAGAGAGCGGTTTCGGATAAACAGTCGAGAAAACAGGCTTTTTACAAACGTACATTTTAAACAGAAGTGTATGCTAACAATAGGCAAACAGCAGTAGTACAAGTAGGACAGGAAACAATGTTGAGTATTCAGTAATATTTTCAATCACAAGCACGTCCATTATAATGTGATGTCAAAATAAGTCTTTATAATCTTTAAAAACTTTCTCCGAGTCTGCGACTTCGGCAAATCAGCTATTTGTCTAATACAACGAGATTTCGAAATACAGTGTAGATATTGCACTAATGATTCCGTGCTGTTTTGAATTTATTAGGCGGTTGGCAGCTGGTCGGTCGTTCGCTTCCTTTGACCGGTGGTGCTTTATCCTAGGATGCGGCAGCGGATCCGAAAGTTGAGCGGCTGGTAGATGCGATGTGCTCGGTTAGCCGGTAGGATGTGATTGGTTGATCAGTCAGTTAGCATACAGTTCCGCCCACAACAACCTCTTTACCCATTTCCTCTCTGTTCCTTCCCACTGGTCTCTCTAACATCCAACATTACTTTTAACAACACCATAGCAAGTTCATTTGCCTAGACCAAGGTAATCAAGAGATGAGATTTATTTTAAAAAAGAAATTATAAACTAAAAAAAAAAAAAAAAAAGTATCAAATTTGTTTGCGGAGCCCCTTAATGAAAATTCAAATTACCTCCAAATTAACTCTCTGTCTCATGCAAAAGAAAGTGAAAACTAAAACACTTGAATATTCTTAAATACCAATCAGAAAACAAAGGTAAACATTCAACACAACAAATTTCTTGTTGGGTAGACTATGCATGTTAAAATATCAATGCAAAAAAAAAAAAAAAAAAAAAAAATATTATATATTCAAGCGTTCTTTTGTATTTTCGAAGTGCATGCCAGAGTAAAATGAACTTAAAATGTATGATTTGATTTTAAAAAGCAGAAGAAAAAAAAAAAGTACAATTACTTTAAGAAAATAGTCAAACCGATATGCCTGGCAAATATAATGCATCATAACATGCTATAAAACTCATGTTTATTTAACTTCCTATTTGCTGTTCCTTCATCGGGCAGAGGTCAATTTATTAGTTAAATGAGTACAGTATTAGCTGATTGACCAGTTATCTAAAATAGCTACAACTATCACAGAATATTACAAAAATTCACCCCTAACTCACTGATGGTAAGCCCCTCTTAGATTACTCAGCTCCTCGAAAATAAGGGGACGGACAAACTTCAATGCTTAGTAGCTACGGCTGTAGCCATTGCTGTACTTTTCCTCAAAATAATCATCCTTATCAAAGCCTGAGCCAAGAGAGTAGCGTTGATAGTGGGAGGAAGGAGCGGAGGAAGGGGGAGGGGGTGCAGAGCTAGCACCATTGCGGGCGAAACCCCGGGCAAAGCCGGCAGAAGAGGGTGGAGGGGGAGGGGGAGGCAGGAGAGAGCGGCGATCGCCAAGAGGGCTGCGCTCTCGGTAGTAGCGACTGGCGAGAGGAGGCGTGACCGGCCGCTGAGGGGGCGGAATGCGGCGGTCGTATGGATCCGGATCGTAATATCGCGGGGATGGGGCGGCGTATGGGTCGTGGCGAAGTTCCCTCTCGTACACATCGCGCTCATAGTAGGCGCGGGGTGGCGGTGGTGGGAGAGGAGGGGGTGGAAGTCGGCCACGAGGCGGATAGTAGTCACGGGGCGGCTGGCGTGGGGGGACAAAGTGAGGATGGTGGTGTGGGTGAGGTGGATAGTGATGCGGTGGAGGAGGAAAATAGTCCTCCCCTCGGTCGTTTCTGGATGGGTTACTGCGTGAGAGGGACACAAAGATCTTTTGGCCATCCAATTTGGAGTGGCTAAGCTTTGAAATGGCCTCCAGAGCCTCGCCTTCCCTCTGCATGTGAACAAATGCATAATTCTTCACAATATCGCACTCCACCACCTTGCCGAACGGCTGGAAGAGCTCCTTGATTTTGGCGGCGGTGACACCTTCGGGAACATTGCCCACGTAGATCTTGGTGGCATTGCGTACCTTGGTGGTGGCGTACTCGACGGTGATGCGGGAGCCATTGACCTCGTGCTTGTGCAAAGCGGAGACAGCCTTCTGCGCTGCCTCTTCCTCATCCATGTGCACGAAGCCATAGTTTTTCAGAATGTCACAGTCAGACACGGCGCCGTACTTCTCAAACAAAGCACGGAGCTCGTCTTCGGTGGTTGCTGAAGCTACATTGCCAACAAATATCTTCACCATTTTGGACAGGAAGAACGGCAGTGTGTTTTGGAATCAGTCTTTGGTTGATTTGCAAGGTATCGAACAATGAAGTTCCTAAGAAAAAACAACAAAGTCAAATAAACAGGCAAAATGTATGCAAATCAACATTAGCAAGAATTTCAAATGCAAAGCACACCGGATAAACCACAACTTCCCTGCTGCCATCAATCACTTTTCCATTGATATTTTATAATAATTCATGGTTAAATCGTAGGAATTACGATATTAATAATAATGGATATTGTACTCAAGCTTCACATGGGGGTCCTCATAATCGTGTTGGTGTTCATGTAACTATTATAAATTATGCATTATTGCAAAATAAAAGATTAGAAATTATTACGGAATTACTACATGGGTGTTCTAAATGATAACAGTTTAGCCACCACGCTACAAAAACACTTTACCGCTGAGCACCTGACCACGACTAACCAATCAGAATCAAGTATTTCAGAGTGCGTAATAATGAGGGCTTGACGCTATAAAATTAGATTATTTAAAACACGATTCAGTCGTCTTTTATATCTTAATATGTGGCCAACATGAACTGGGTTGAACGTCCGATGACAAGAGTGTATATCTTTGATCTAATGTCCTAAAAACTGATCTACTGCATCTCAATCATGCAATGGCTAAAGCTATCGTGCTAACGCCACTATCTATTAGCACCAGACTAAGGAAGTAACTGAAATATTTAGTGAGTGAACACCTTACAGCTAAAAAAATAAATACTTTACGCTAAGAAAATAATCTCGCATTGTAAAATAAATCCGTGCGATTAAATTAAGATATTCTCGGTTCACGTTAGGACGACGTTCAGTACAAAGGGAGAATATCGGACAACAGAGTGAATACATTTTCTGCATTATGATCATTCAAACGGTCGTGGCGTACTTCTAATCGACGGGTGAAATACCGAAGATAAACATTTGAAGTCTCACATAAAGTGTAATCTTTAAAATTTACCTTCAAAGCGCAACTATAACGACGACGGGTAAGCTCGCTGATAATGGATGACGGTGAATGTCTGCCTCGGTTGAGGGTTGGGGGAGGGTCACATAAACGTGACCAGACTGAGAGTTGGCGCCTCCTACCGTTTGACCCCAGTTAGTGATAGAAAGTCCCTCTCATGCGAACCGGTTCTTTCGAACAATTTGCTTCAAACAGGCTCAAATGATTCAGTGGCCATTACGTAATCGCGTAATAACGTCAACATGAGGTCCCTTATATATCTGCGTGGCCAATTATACACTGTAAACCTTTGTAGTGTATTGTAAAATGTATGTATCCAAAATGTGTGATATTTTAAGTACATTTCATTTATAACGTTTCAGCTTTTCGGCTGTGGAGTAACTTACAGTTTGACCCTCATACTCAAAAACAGGTCGGATCGATTCAGTGTGATCTGTGATCCGGCTCGAAATAATTCGTTCACGAATCGCAAATCACTACCCCAGATGTGCACATGACAGAGGATGCATCCGGTGTCATTTTTTTCTTTCCTTCCTCTGATTGTTCAACAAAATGCCCAATTATTTGAACTAGACATAGCCCAATTTACACAGCACACCAATTTACAAATATGGATTAAATATCTGGATAATCTGAAGACTCTAAAAACATTTAGCCAACAAATTAAAACTGCAAACACATTTAGACTAGCATCATAAACCAAGAATAAAACGTTTAACACTTTATAATTAATATATAATAAATATGTTTAACAGATCAGTAATTAATGTACATTTAAACAAACATGTACAGATATTAATCCAATTAATAGCATTTGAATGTACAATTAATGACTTGACAATGTAAAAAAATGACTTGGCATAATTGGTCAAAGTAATTTTAAAAATTGTATTTAAATGAACGTTACTCATAAAAGTGTTACCCTAAACCAAACAAACAAAAATGGACACCTAAATTGCTAAGTTTCCAAGTGCTCTCAAATGGAAACATTTTAGAAAGTAAATAGTTTTATTTGTATTGCATGCTCTTTAAATCAATTAAAGAACATCAGCATATTTCAAATGTTGCTTGAAGGTGAAACAAAAGAAAATAAAACAATGCACTAAAATAAAAAGAATGTTGCTAATGAACAACTGAACACAAATCATCCAACATCTGGTTTATTCATATAATAATATTAATAATTATCTTCTCCAGAGAAAGGCAACGAAACACAGACTCATTCCAGTGCAGCAGATTGGATCCAACCAGCAATTCTTAATTACACTACAATCCACCAATAATTACTTAATTGGCTCTTAATTAGTTTCAGATATATAACTCCTGCAGTAGAGGGAAAAAACAAAACAAACAGCAAAAAACGAATTGTCTGGGCATTGAGTGCTAAGAGGTGATTCACCTCCAGTGCACCAAGGATTCAAGTCAACACTTCCATTTCAGCTCAAATAAGACACTGTACTGTCATGTAGAAATGGGGCAGAGGTTACGGATTAGCTAGCAATTTCATTGGCTAGATCAGAACCAATCAGATCATGATGAGTGGATATGAAAATTCAAATGATGGCTCTACTGAATGTGCCTAGTCATTTGGGTCTCGATTTTGTGTTGTACATTCTGAGTGTCAACCACCAATATCTCCATCTCTGCTCATCACAGCTAACATGGAATTGGAAGTAAGATCAAGTAATGTGGTGGTTTAGCATTGTTTGTGTTTGGGGATGAACAAGGAATAAGGACCAGGGTATGGGGGGGAGAGTTAGATACAGATGTCCATGACAGTAGCTGGTTTGTGTTTGTAAAAAAAAAATTAAAAAATACTGGCAAACAATTCCAGTTTATGAAAACCAACGTCTTCTCACGGTCTCTTAACTTTTTCTGAATTGAGGACAATTGTGAGTTCCAAGAAAACCCACATTTGAACAAAATTGCCACAAATAAAAATGACAACAAAGCATTCGAGGGGGGTGAGTAAGGAACAGAAAACCCAAACCAAGACAGAACACTTCCCCCAAAAAATAACCCCCCTGAAAAATGTCTATATGCACAAATGTCCCCCATGAACCTGTCTTACACCTTTTCCCCCTTTACAGCCTCAAGACTCTTCAATGCTGCCGTAGAGCTCACAACTCCAATGATTTTCCTCACAGTGCCTCCTCATTCCCAACACACGGGCTCCAGCCGTTCCTCAAGATCTTTTCCACAGAAACCATCATCTTCCTCACAGTTTTAGCTCGTTGGCGATCTTCGAGGCGATGTTCTTGAAGGCGATGGAGGTTCCGGAGATCCTCTTGAAGCGCACCCCGTTGAGCGAGAGGCGAGGTAGCTTGCACACCTCCATCTCCCACTGGACAAAGTCTTCATGCGCGGGGTTGCCCGAAACGCAGAGGAGCATGAAGCGTTCGCGCAACTCATACTCGCAGCTGTTGGAGTCCAGAACTTTCCGGATCTCCTTCATCATTTCGTTGGGCTCCATGGAGGAGGTGGTCTTCATGCTCCAGGTGAAGCGGAGGGAGCGTGGTTTTGTGTCCTTGGAGGCCTGGGTGGACGAAGGTGTGCTGGACGCTGGAGAAGAGGAAGAAAAGAAGTCCTTGTTTTCATCGCCAGGCAGTCCTTGGATACCTTTCTCCATCTTGTCTGCTGTGCTCAACATGGGTCTTCAGTGAAAACGATGAGAGGAGAGAGGCACAAACAGGAAAACGAATGTGAACATGCGGAAGACAAGGAAATGAAAACAGACAGAAGAAGCTTGGATGATTCAAGCTGTAACTAGTTCTTCTGCTTTAACACGTTTAAAAGTTTAAATCAACATGATTAAATGTTTTTTTATCATCAACACAAAACACCAACATGGTGCTATGGTGGAAGACTACAATGCAGTCAAAACAACAGCATCCACTAATTGGACATCTGTATGGTGTTTTTTGCGGGTAAAAACAAAAACTACAAAAAGTATACAAATATAAATAAAACATTAACTCTGTTTAGAAATTTATTTATTACCTATTTTTAGATACTAATACATTTTTGCATGTAAATGAAAGAAATGCACTACCGTTGGAAAGTTTGGGGTCAGTAAAATCAAGGAATTATTTTATTTAGCAAGGGCACATTAAAATGTTCAAATGTGACAGTCAAGATATTTGTTACAAAAAAAAAATCATCAAATAAATGCTGTTCCTTTGAACTTTTTATTCACCAAAGAATTTTTATTTATTTAAATTTTTCACAATAGTATGGTTTTACTGTATTTTTTAATTTTTTTTTTAATAAATGCAGCCTTGGTAAACAAAATACTTTTCAAAAACCTTTTAAAAATCTTACTGACCCCAAACTTTTGAACGGTAGTGTACATTTGATTGTCTCATGATGCAAGTAATCCAATGATTCAAAAGAAAAATTCCCAGTTTAAGCTTTAAATGACTCCGCACTCAAACGGAACATGAATCTTTCTATTTAAAAAAAAAAAAATGCCTTAGTAAGTAATGATTCAGTGATTTGAGCAGTATGCTTTTGTAGATAAATGATTTTTATTAGTCAGTCGTTGTCCTCACCTGCTGGCCTCATCTTGACCCTCTCCCTCATACGGACTCCTCAAAGAAAACCAACAAGTTTAGTCCCTCAATTCATGTTATGCTAGCTAAGTATTAGTCCTGTTCATGTAGATTTTGGTATCAATATTTTATTATGCTCATAAAACTTAAAATATCTGAAACAAAAACTTTTTACAGTCCCTTCACCACCTTCTTGAGCATTTACTTTTAAACTCTGAACCTCAGGATCAACACACACTCACCTAAGCCACTCTGTATTTAGCATAAACACCTGAACAAATGAGCAGACAAATGCTAGTAGTCCAAAATTAGGATATAAATATTCATATTCCAAATGGACAGCAAATATCTGATGTAGCAATCTGTGTGTCAAAGTGCAAGTTTGGATTTTCTTCGTGTACATGATGCAGTCTGGTAATGTAAGAGCATAACATTTTAAATGACCCCAAAAGGAATTAAAACGAATTTCAAATCTTATTAGGAACCTAACCGCAAAATTCAGTATAGTGCCTAGAGCAAAACTACAAGGGGTCCTTCTAAACTTAAATTCCCAAACGTGTCTGTCAGAGATGAAGTGTAAAAGTGTGTATCTGGTTAATTTTCTCATGTGTGTATTGTACAGCTGAACAAGTGATTTCAGTGAGGTGTGTTGAATGATACAGTCGGACGGGGAGATCAACCACCTCCAAAACAGCGCAGCACAAGAACGAAGGGCCAAAAGCAGCACACCTGTTTTAGTGCAGCATTATAAGAATAAGCAGTAGACCGTAAGAGGAGAAAAGCAGGCGTCACCCTTTACAGGCCTCACCATGAAAACACGACTGGCATCCACTATTGATCCTGCCTGCCTGACTGACTGACTGTGCAAACTATGAACTTACCTGACCTATTAAAAATCAAATGTCAAGCTTTGGGCGAAGGTTTAGTTGCCATCAACAGAATATAAATGACAAAGAATCCTGTGCCTAATACTTCTACATGCTGTTGTAGATATTAATTTTCTGTCTGAGGGGTCTACAAAATACATAAGGAATTTACTTCTTTCTCCGATTGCGCTGAACAAACATACTTACAACAATAGTATTCATGATAATAGCGTTATACCTTTATTAACAACACTTTATTAAAACAATAATTATGTTGTTAATAAAGAAACCATTTACACAGACACTAGGTTTTTTTAAACACCTTTTTATTTGAACCAGAAATTACACCGATTTAAGTCCCACAAGCCTATAGTTCACCCAAAAATGAAAATGATCTACTCACCCTCATGTCATTCCAAACCTATAAGAATCTTTCAAACACAAATGACAATATTTTTAATATAACCTGAGAAATTTCTGGCCCTCCTTTGAAAGTCCCAGCAACCAAAACATTGATGCTTCAAAAAGTTCATAAAGAGAATGTAAAAGTAATCCATCAATATGAATAAAGCACCTAAATGTAAGTCTTCACTTGGGATCACACCATCACATCATGAACAGATTTAATTTAATATTTTTTTTTACATGTAAGCATTGATCAACGCACATACATGGAGCACATCAAATACAGTAAACGCGTTTGCTTTGGTGAAATGGACTTTCAATGAAGGGACTGAAATCTTTCCAGTTACATTAAAAATACATGAATTTGTGTTTCGAAGATGAACAAAAGTGTTAATGGTTTGGAAAGAGATGGGAGTGAATAAATGATGGCCATTTTCATTTTTGGGTAAATGAATGCTAATGCTAATGCTTTTGACAGATTAATTAATTAAGTTGAACCAATTTGAGTCATTTGTTCATGAATCAGACTACAACTGTCATGCTGTGTTTGTTGTGGACACTGCAATAGAAAGAGGTGTTATATGTCTATTTATTAAAGATAAAGTTTTTTATCTTTTATCACATTTAATTGGACTGCAAGTCCACAATTGAAGTAACTGTAGATTTAGCTGTATGTTTGAAAGTATTTTAGTAGATGTACAATAACCTTTAATGGAACCGAATCATGAAAATCAAGAGTTTATCAGTCCTTGTACAATGGTGTAATTAGAAACAATCTACAAAGACCTGTAAAACTTGTATTACACTATCATTTAACTGCATTGTAGGAGTGTAGTCATGTTGCATGATGACAGCACAGACGAGGGCGCATGGAGACCATTTCACAAGATCTGCGGCATAACGTACATGAGTTCATATGAGAGAGAAGCGGGATGTGATGCAATCGAGGAAGAGAGGGCTGGCAGAGGAGTGAGTCAGGCAATGGACGCAGAGCAGTAGTAAAGAATAATACCATGAAAGGATATGCATGTGGAACAAAAATAAATGCTGGTTCAAGACACAAGACATCACAGAAGGAATATAGAGCACAGGAAAAAGACATTGTCTTGGGAAAACGCAAGGGTAGCGTTATTGCCTACCTTCTGGGAAATCTGAATGAGAGATTTCTACAAAAAAAAAAATTAGAGAAAAAGGGAAAAATGTGTTTCTCACATGTGCATGAACCATTGGAAAATCTCTCAAAAAAGATGAAATACATTCTGTTTGGCTGATAGGTGAAGAGGTTAAAAAGGGTTCTTTATGAAACCTATGAAAGGTTTTTCTGACCATTAGTGTTAGCTGGGGGCACTGAAAAGGGCACCAGGATTTGTAGTCAGATTAAAGATCATGAATTATACTTGAAGTTACACAGGGCGTTTAAGATTGCTGAGGAAACTGAATTGTAAATGCATTGCATGAATGATGGATGTTAGATTAGGGTTTGGTTTGCAGGGTTCCCACACCTTTTCGCAAATTTTTTAGGATTTTCCAAGTCATTCATGATTGCCGGATAAAGATAAAAAAAAACATGTATACCATTTGCTTATGTGATTGAACTACAAAAAAACAAATTAAGACGTAATTAATTTCCATGACATTTCTAGGCATGGAAATCACTCCCTGATATTTCTAGGTATTCCCTGACCGTGGGAACCCTGAATTTCATATGTTAGTAATCCTTCAGTTAGCATCTCTCACACTTAAAACCATCTCTGCTCCAGCAGCCATTTGTTTGAGTTCATGATCTTAGCGATAAAAAACAGTGCCAGTCCAAACCATCTCGTCCTGAAAGAGGGGAGCACTGGTGAGAGTCATGAGAATGCGTGCATGTGTATTCCTAAGAGTTCACCTAATAGTTCACTTAAGTAAACGCAAGTAACAGTGTCACCATGTGGATGGATCATGAACTCACCTGCGTACAAATTTGGAAGTAAACTTGCTGAAGATGCCTGTCCCAGGACGGCGCACCTGGCTGTTGCCATGGGAAAGGGAGGGGGAGGCAGAGGGGTCATTGTACGCTGAGGCTTGCTGGTCTCGTGTGGCTCTTTGCTGGCCGGCGTGGAAAGTGCTTCTAATCGCCACCCCTCTGGAGAAGTTGGTACGATCAGCCATTGAGGAAATGTTTATGTTCTGAGCTGAGGGGGACACCACTGGTGCTTTCTGGTTGGCCGTGCTGTTTTTTTTTTTACAAATTGTTTGCAAAGGTGAAAAGAATATCAGTTAGTACTCAATAATCCAGTCTAGCAGCCATTCAAATACAAAACAGCATCAATAAATATAAGCCACTTCAGAGCAACATGCAGCTACAATAATCAGGCACAAAAGCATGAATAGGCCATTTCATTATGCTAACAACTGCAGCTCTTGCTGCTAATGCACTCATGGCAGACAAATCATCCTTGTGGAAAAGAACCTACATTTAATTTGAGATTGATTTTAAAAAGTGATGGAATAAAACCCAGGCATGCACTTGCGTGTGAAAGTATAATTCCACCATCAGCCCTTTTTGTACCATGCCAGACATGTGACAAGCCACAGGCTTAAATCACATGAGGACCACATTTTTTATATATATTTTTTTTAAAGTTACAAAACCATACAACCGGTTAATATGTTAATCATAACATAATTGTTAAAGGTGAAGTGTGTAATTCCTGGATCACAATTGTGTGTCACCTAACAAAACAGGAAAAATTACTTTTCAAAAATAATCTCCATCCTGACCTCACACTATTACTAAATATATCGGTACCGTATTGTTTATTGACAAATATTTTATTTTATTTTATTTATTTAAAATCAGCAAATGTTAATCTTTAAAAAAAACAATTTAATAACATTGTTAAATGTAATCTTTCAAAGTGAATCTATTTTGCGTACTGTACATTATAATGCTGTGAAGACTAAATCCACTTGTAGCATTTAAAATTATATATTTTTTTTTAAGACAAAACCAAAGAATTCTTTAAAAAAAAAAGTTTCTACAAAAATATTAAGCACCACTTTTCAACTATGATGTTTTTCTTGAACAGCAAATCAGCAAATGAGAATGATTTTTTCATGTGACACTGAAGACTGGAGTAATGACTGCTGAAAATTCAGCTTTGCCATCACAGGAATAAATTACATTTTAAAAATATATTTAATCTGTATTTTATATTTTAAATTGTAATATTTCACCATATAACGGTGTTTACTGTATTTCTGAACAATAGTGTAAAAATAATCTTCTATTGGTCAGATTTTTTTTATATCAACACCCTAATGCAATGTATTCACAGAGTGTTTAACATTTAAGGACAAATGCTTAACTTATAGTTGTCTACCTACATTAAACTGAAGACAAGTATTTTAACACTGATTACACACATCACCCTTAATAGTTATCATGCAGCTATTAGCTATTACCTACAAAAGATGAGACTCAAACAACAACAGAAAACCAAAAAAACTGAAGAAACTCTTCAGGGAGGGAGACAAAACCATTGTTAGCATGCATATAACTGTCTGTGACACAAGCTTTTAACATTCCAGGATGGCACAAAACGTCTTTATTAAAGGTTACGTAAGCAGTGAGAGGTTTTAGAGGATATGAATGCACTGTCTGGTTTGGCTGCAGAAAAGAAGGGGTGGAGAAGGATAGGGCAGCAGAGCAACACAACACACAACACATGCATAAGTGAGGGAGGACCTTGTGAGAACAAAAGACAATGAGTTAAAGCTTGCATGTGCATTATGAATTAGAAAAGAACAGACTGTCAGGTACATGATGTGAATAACGTGTGTTTATGTGGAGGAGAAAGTGGGACGGCGAGTAAGACGGCGTGTTATTGTGACGGACAACAAGTGAGAAAAGTAGGCAAGGCTAAAAAAAAGTGAGGGCCTTCTTATCTCTTAGCATGACGTATTTGGTACTTTGTCTGTGGATCTCATGTATTTCAAACCCCCCAAAAACTTTTAAAGTTTCTGCTTTAAAAACAATCTATACGTCCTAGTTCGTCCCTGACTCTTGAAGTCGAATCCCCATCCGAACAGTTTTGGTTCTGGCTGCCACTTGCCTGGGGCGATGTGCATGGAAGTCTGGGGGACTGGGGTGGGCAGAGGTGGACAAGGACTTGTGGTGACGGGTGCGGGATGAGGCGGCGAGGACCGCGGCCGCTGAGGCGGTGGAGGCGCGGGACCCTGGAGTGTTCAAGCTAGGGGAAAGACTAATAACAACAGCCCCCATGTGCGGACACCCCCCACGTACAGAGTGGAGGGAGGTATGGGTGAGGTTGTAAAGCAGACAGGTTAGATTCAGCAAAGATGGAGGGATGGTTGAGAAAGTGATGGAATAAGACAAAAGCACACACCAGGAGATAAAAATACAATGCTGCGGGTGCGATAATGCAGGTTTGGATGCTATTTTGGTCTTAAAGGGTTAGTTCACCCAAAAATGAAAATTCTGTCATTAATTACTCACCCTCATGTCGTTTCAAACCCGCAAGGCCTTCGTTCATCTTCGGAACACAAATTAAGATATTTTTGATATTGTTGAATAAAGTCGTGTTTTTTTTTTTCTTTTGCGCACAAAAAGTATTCTCGTAGCTTTGTATAATTGCGGATGAACCACTGATGACACTTGGATTATTTTACAGATCTCCTTGCTACGTTTCTGGACTTAGGAACATTTCAGTTGCGTTGCTGTCTATGCAGGGTCAGACAGCTCTCAGATTCCATCAAAAATATCTTAATTTGTGTTCCGAAGATGAACGAAG